GATCGAATTACTGTTTTAATAATGACGGACTAGAACGATAAGTGGACAATTCTGGAAAAACATAAGAGCAGTATAAACGCAATGGAGATGAGACATCTAAGAAGGATAGTTGAAAAGACAAAATGGGATAGATTAAGCAACGAGACTATTAGAAGAATGGCCAACCAGGAACCGATAATGAACAAAATAGCAAAGAGACAAATGAACTGGTATGGGCATCTGATGAGGATGCAATCCAATAGAATAACAAGAAAAGTTTATGAAACAAAAAACATCGGAAAAATAAAAAGAGGCAGACCAAGAAAAAATGGATACAGTGAGTAGTAGAGGCAGGAAAACTTAAACAAAAATCACTCGAGGAATTGACAATAATGGCAGGAAACAGAAGAGAATAGAAGAGGTGGGTGAATGGAAATTAAAATAGCTAGCACAAATCCGACACAATGATAGGGTAAAAGGAAGGGGATAAAGAAAGGATTGGGAGATTGGGTAGTGTTGAATGGCCTCCTCATTTACCCGATATGAATCCTACAGATAAATTTGATTAGGATACTTGAAAAGTTGAAATCATAAAACTAAACCAGCAAGTATTATAGAAAGACAAATGAATAATCGATAAATCAATATTAATTTCTAGATGAATTTAGCAGCCATCAGCAGAGTGTCAAAATATATATGATAAACTTAAGACCAAAGAGGGCAACACAAAAATATATAAATTAGCGAAATAACGAGTAAAAAAGACAAATATCGCTCTTATGGCATAACTATACCTTTCTATTCCTTTATTATTCGCTTCTCTTTTAATCCTTAATTTTTATTTTTTCTTTGTACGTTAAAATTTAAATTGGCCTAATAATCTAAACTGGTTTTCAAAAAATTCTAAAATCCTATTATGCCTGCTTTTGACCTATCCCAAAAACAAAGTAATTGCAAATCAAAATCTCCGATCCATAAATCCCAGTTTAGCAAACTGTAACCTCAGCTATATAAAAACAGGTTTGTTATGCAAATAGCGGCATGATTCGGTTTTGTCAAACGTGATTTGAATTTTACATCAATTTTGTGTTACATCCAATTTGGCAAATGTCCGAGCTGGGGCTCTTAATGTCACCGGGAGGTAATTACATAAACTCTCCATCAAATTACCACGTCGTGACAGCGTTTGTAGTGTAGATATTGTTCCAGCATCCCCACCTGGAAATGTTATTTATTTTTGATGTGCCTTAACCGTAAAATTTATTCATTTTAAAGGCAATGAAAATAATGGTTTCCTACATTATGTTTTTTACTGTTCTTAAAAAGATCTAGGAAAGGATAAACAAGAGGAAAATAAATTAATAAATAAATTTATGAAAGAAAAAATAATTTTGGAATAACATTTTAATCTTCTTCCTCTTCGTTCGGTCTCGGTTTTCGTGATTATTCACCCTATTACACTGAATACTAAATAACATTGGAATAAATATTTTTAAACGATGTTAAAATATCAACGTTTTTGTTAAAGTAACTTACATATTATTCAAATTACCCCAAAGCCCATTAATTTACAAGCATGATAAAAAATAGAGCGCCAGTTTCTTAAGTACGGAAATAAGTGCTTCCGAGAATATGGCACAGTTCCTTATGCGAAAAAAATGCCCATTAAAACACCGGGACCATTAAAACTCTACCTTTAAATCTCTCAACTTCTGAAACTCCAATTTATAATACCGTAACTGTTGACATTGTGCCGCATGTCAGACGACAATTTGGCATTTTTTTTAAGTACGAAAGAAAGAAGGTCATTTCCGAGAATGAAACTTCGAAGAAGGAGCTCCATTTAAAAACGTGACTAAGAATTATAACATTGTGACCTTTTTAACGTTCATGAGGTTAATAGCTTGAAAATGTGCTAAAGATCTCTGCATAAAATACTTACATTCAAAGACATCTTAGATTCAGTTTTTAAAATTTAGGTGTCGAAAGGGCGAAGGTGTAAAAATTAAACTGAAAAATTAGTCGAAAACAAATCTAAAATATTGAACAATAAAGTTCAAAGGAAGTAAACGCAGTAAGAGATACTTCAAACGAAACACAAATAATCCCAGAACAAGTAGATAGGGTATGGAAAGAATATTATGAGAAAAAATTTGATAGCGAAGTGATAAAGGGAGACAATATAATCAATGAAGGCGAAGAAAACACAGAGCTAGAGCAAATAAGTAGAGAAAAAGTAATAGAAGGATTATCAAATATAAAAATAGGCAAGGCAGGTAGAGATGATGAAACCGGAAATGGTAAAATACATGGGAGAAGAAGGAATAAACTGGCTATGGAAAATATATAAAGAGGCGTGGGAAACACAAACAATCTCTAAAGACTGGCAGAACAATATCATTCTTCTTCTTCATGTACCATGTCCTTTCAGAACGTTGGTTACCATCATAGCTATTTTAATTTTATTCACTGCCACCCTAAATAGCATGCTTGTATCTACACCATACCAATCTCGCAAGTTCTTCAACCATGGGGTTCTTCTTCGTCCTGGACTGCGTTTGCCTGCTATTTTTCCTTGCATGATATTTTGTAGCAATCTATATTTGGGACCTCTCATTACATGTCCGAAATATTCCAGCTTTCTCTGCTTGATGCTTTTTATGATCTCAGTAGTCTTGCTGAGACGTTCAAGTATTATGGAGTTACGAATCTTCTCCACCCAGGAAACTTTTAAAATTCTTCTATAGCACCACATTTCGAAAGCCTCAAGGCGATTTAGATCGATTTTATTCACAGTCCAGGACTCGACAGCATAAAGTAAGACCGAGAACACGTAGCAGCGAAGTAGGCGGATCCTTAATGCCAGTTTTAGGTCTCTGTTACATAACACCTTGGACATCCTTCTAAAAGCAGCTCTAGCCTGCTCTATTCTGGATCTAATTTCGCCGTGATTTTCTGCATTACAATTTAATTGCTGTCCAAGGTAGACGATTTTATCAACTTGCTCAAGTTTGGTATTATTTACATATATAGACGGTGTTATATTCTGTTGTTTACTTATTACAAGTATTTTGGTTTTCCTTATGTTCAGATCAAGACCTGCCTCCCTACAACTCTTAACGACACTATCAAGTAGTGTTTGCAGATCTTCTTGACTAGAAGCTAGGAGTACTGTATCGTCCGCATATCGCAAATTATTGATGACTTCGCCGTCCACAAGTATTCCTTCTTGTTTTTCAGAAAGCGCTTTTCTGAAAATTCTTTCGGAGTAAACGTTAAAAAGCAGGGGTGACAAGAGGCATCCCTGCCGTACTCCTCTTTTAATATTGAGAGCTTGTGATTCCACACCATCTACTAAAACTAATGTTGTTTGATTCCAATATAAATTTGCAATTATTCGAACATCTCTGCCTATGTCTTTTAGTGTGACAATATATCATTGTGCCAATATACAAAAAAGAAGCACATGTAAACTGCGACAACTATAGAGCAATATGTCTGTCATCGGTATGCTTTAAAATATATACGAAAATAATAGAGAAGAGACTGAGACAAGAAGTAGAAATGGTATTGGGAGAAAAACAAACGGAATTTAGACCGGGAAGACAGACAAATGACAACATATATATCATTAGAAACCTAATAGAAAGAAGCATGTATACCAGGGAAAACTAGTATTAGCATTCATAGACCTAAGAGCAGTATTTGACACAATAGAAAGACATATTATAGGGAAATGCTTGAGGAAAATAAATGTACCTAATGCATTGATAAAAATTATAGAAAGTACTTACAAAGAGGTAAAAGGAAGGGTACAAATAACAGGGGAAAGATCGGAAGCATTTAATTGGAAGAGAGGTATTAAACAAGGAGATAGTCTCAGCCCTTTGCTATTCATTATAGTAATGAACGAATTGATAAGAAAGACTAGAGTCAGAACCAATCAACTACAGACAATAATAGGTTACCATAGATTACAACCGGTTACAATAGAGTCCTTAATCTATGCAGACGACATAGTACTAATAGCAGATTCCGAGAATAAAATGCAGAAACTAATGGATATATGGATCTGAAGTTGGTAACTGTTGCAAAAGCATAAAAAACCATTAATACAAGCGTTTTTAAACCATATCGGTGGATTGATAGTCGATGCGATCGAAAGTCTTTGTCAGGTTTATAAAACTTTGATATGCTAGTTTATTGTACTCTATGGCCTTTTCTATGATTTGTCTTAGTACAAACACGGCATGAGGGGAAATTAGGGTAATGTATGGTACAAACTATTTAGCAATTATGCACAATTAATATTGTAATCATTTATGTAAAATATATAGTAAATATGCAAATTGCACAAATATAATATTGGTAAAATTGCTATATATTTTGTAGCAGACAGCCCCTATATGGGTTTTTGTAATTTCAGCATTTAGTTTGCTATATACCGTTGACCTAAGGATGCCCAGAAAATTATAGTATGTGAAACCGGTCGTAAATAGTAAAATAAATTGATTATGAGTAAGTTTTACCCTTATTTCTCTTTACCTAAATTGGAATGGACTCGCACAGATAAGATATTCAAGATTTGTGTAATTTAGATATTATTTCGTCACTTCTTCTGCGGTCTTCCACGCTTATGATAGTTTCTCGAGCCAGCAGTTTTTATATCCATTTATCAAAAGGGTGTTGTGCTAGGTGAGTGGCTCACTGCTTCTTAAGAATGTTCAATAATTTTTTCATTTTTGCCTCTGTCTCTTAAATTAATTGTTTTTCCAGCCAAGCGAATTGAATGTAGAGTTCACTTTTCCGTAACAGCTCGACCAAATTAAAATTTTTTCAGGAGCTAAATAAAAGGAAACAAGAACCCGACGGAAAAATATGTATTAAACATTTCTAAAAAGTTCTCTTTTAAATGAATATAAACCGGTAGCAAGTTCCATTTAAACAGTTGTACAATAAGAAAGAAACAACTTTTATTTTGTTAGTCTATTAAAAGTTTCAAGTTTATTATTTGTTTTCAGGACGATGCGACGAAAACAGCCCCTGCGAGCAGCTCTGCTACGAGTTGCATGACGGAATGTATGAATGTGACTGTAAAGAAAGGTTTATTTTAAGAGAAGATGGGTACAGCTGCTACGGTAAGTAAAGGAGTAATTAGTTTTCAGTTCGACTTTACTGGAAAATGTATTTCATTTAACTAGATAGAACGAGTGGGAAATTTTTCGGAATTAATGAAAAAATGTAAAACGCGTATTTGCTTCAAGAATTTTTAATTTAATTTCAATGGTGCTAGAAATTGCTGGAATTATTTACTTACAATTAAATAAAATGTAATTTTCTATCTTTTGTAAAATGTAGTTTTCTATGATGATTGAAAATCCCATTAAACTTTCAAGACATGTAAAAAACAAAAAGCATGAATTTTTTAATTAAAGGCATAGTGAAAACCAATAGAGGACATACAGTACAAAAAAAATATAATAAAATACCATTGCATAACGAGTATGATAAATAGCGATAAAAAAACTTAGTACTGCAAGAATTTATTAAAAATATCTCTGTCTTTTGCAACCTGGAATAATTTGTCTACAGCCATGTTTGTCCAGTCTCGAATATTTCGCAACCATGACTTTCTCTTCCTATTCCCTTTTTGTCATCTACTCTAACCTGCATGATGACCTGCAGTAGACTATATTTATCATTCCTCAGGATGTGTCCAAGATATGCAGAACTTTTATTGTTCTCATCAATTCTTTGTCATGATCCATCCTTCTCAGCACTTCTTCATTGTTGACCCTGGCAATCCATGGAATTCTCAACATTCTCCGGTATATCCAAAGTTCAGAGGCTTCAAACTTCTTAACTATTTGCTCTTTTAACGCCCATGTTTCTACCCTGTTCAATAGTTGGGACCAGATGTAACATTTAACAAATCTTAGTTTCAGCGCAGTATTTATATTTTTGTCATAGAACAATAATTGCTTGAATTTTAAGAACGCTGCCCTTGCCATTTCTATTGGTACCCTGATCTCTTGGTCTGGATCTAATTCTGTATTGATGTAAACTCCCAGATATTTATATTTTGTCACTCTCTCTCTATTTGCTGTCCTTCAAGGGTTAGTTGTTCATTATTTATTGGACTCCTTTTTACTATCATAAATTTGGTCTGATCTGTGTAGATGCCAAATCCCATTTGAATGCATTCACTATTTATTGTATCTAATAAAGTTTTTAGTTCTTCTATACTCTCAGCCATAATTACCGTGTCATCTGCAAATCTCATGGTGTTTATGATTTCTCCACCAATTCTTATTCCCTCTTTTCTTTTCCATAAGGCTTTTCCGAATATGACCTGTGAGTACAAGTTGAAAAGCGTCGGAGACAAGACGCATCCTTGCCTGACCCCTTTCTTTCTGGTTCCAGTATATAGCCTTAATAAACTCAATGTCTTTTTTGCCTTAACTGATGTTTTTTTGTCGTTTCTTCTATTTTGCTAAAAGTATGCGCAATATTCGATGTATGAGTAGAAACTGTAGGTATATATACAATATATACAACATCTTCAATTATGATGCCTAGCTTTAAATAACGTATAACGGTTTAAGTGATGACCAAATCCAGTTATTAAAATTGGTGAACTCATCACGTAAGTCTGTCAAAAAATATTATATGGTAACAAAAAAATATTAACATAGAGCAGTTTCGAAGTTAAATAAAATCGCTCTGGAAAATTATTTCTGCGACAAAATCATAAGAATTTACTTAAATATCTTTAATACAGCACCTTGGTTTAATATTACATTACATAACATTGGTTCAAAATGAGATTTCCATTGTAGAAGTCATAAACAGAGTCCAAATAGAAGATACATATAAATCTGAACAAACAGAATTAATTAATGTAGTTTACAATAAATCATATTATCCAAAATTATCCTGCACATAAACCAGATAACGCAATATACACCAAAGACAAAAAACCTTTACATTTCCTTCTTTTTATTTGTATTTTCTCAAATAAACATTTTAAATCAAAATACGCCATTTTCCACTTACCAGATTAGTCCGAGTTGGTGTGACTTTCAAGTCAACCACTTTTCATTTCTCGGCAGCAGATCTTTCAAGGAAAATTAAAGTGGATTTCGTTTTAATTCAATATTTCTTTCATTTTACGAGATATTGCGCTAGCTTTTCTTTTTCGTTTACAGACCGGTAATAAGAAAAACTAAAATTACGAACTATGACAGGAAAATTCGAATTTAAAAGCTGGAAAAAATACAAAATTTGACTATATAGAGCAGGGCTTTCCAAACTTATTTATACTGTGAGGCCCTTGGGACTTTGCTATTTTTTTGGCGACGCCCTCTCAACCCAACCACCAATAGTACTTATCAATTTTAGTACTAGCGTAGTAACAGGTGATAGTTATAATAAAAACACTATTTGAACATTTATATTTTTTATCAGCAATTAAGAACGAAATCAAAACAGGCGCAAACATTAAAAGAGATGTTTATTTATGTAACTGGTTGGTTAACGTAAGGGCTGTGCTTGCTTTTGAGCACAACTTATGAAACCGGGGCTCAAGTTTGGAAATTGCCACTCTCATTTCCTTTTCCAAGTTTATGTTTAACCTGTACTCGTTTTTAATTACTGCAACTGAAACTTAAAACACTCAATTTCTTAATTTTATAATTTTCTTTTCCATAAGAGCAACTTCTTCTGAAACACAGTGATTTATCTGCTAATTGGAGGATATGAGTATTGTTTTCCTGCAAAGACTTAAAAGATCATTTAATTGGTTACATATGCTACACATACTTCAAAATATATCTAAATGAGGCACTCTCACTGTGGAGAAGAAAGTGCTGCAATATAGGGCATCCCAATCGGAGATGATAGATTATACATGATACATATCGCTGACGACCAAGCCATTCTAGCTGAAGACGAGAGTGATATAAGCTACTTGCGTAGAAAACTGGAAGATGAGTACACCAAATGGGGCCTCACAATTAATATACAAAAAACTGAGTACTTACTTGTAGGAGAAAAACCAGAAAGCCTACAAATCGAAATGGGAACTATAAAACCAACAGACAATTTTAAGTACTTGGGAGTCCAAATAACATCAAAAGCAGGAAGTAGCGAAGAAATACATTCCAGGATTGGCCAAGCAAGATCACCCACCAGACAGCTACACGGACTATTATGGAATAAAAAAATAACAAAAGAAAATAAAACAAGAATTTATTAAACAATAATAGAAAGTATTGGACTGTACTGCGCCGAACTCTGGGAAATAAACCAAAGAAACAAATCAAAAATTAAGGCCATGGAAATGAACTACTGGAGACAATGTTGCCAGCTCACTAGACTTGATAGGGTGAGAAACGAAGATATTCGGAAAGACATGGAAATCGATCTAGACATAATAGACACAATCGAAGCCAGAAGACTTAACTGGTATGGACAACTTCAGAGAATGCCGGAAAATAGATGGCCAAAAAAAAATAGAAGAATGGACTCCGCCAACTAGAAGAAAACGAGGTAGACCAAGACGATCCTGGAGAGACGATGTCGAAGATGCAATGACCGCCAGAGATCTAACAACTGAAGATTGCTTCGACAGAAAACGCTGGAAATTAGGATGCGAGAAGCGGCGCCAGCTGTAGAAGACTCGCTTGTTATATATTTTTATTATAAACTCTAAATTAATAAAGTTTTGCGCATCATCATGTGATTTTTATTTAGATACGTGTACAATTCATATCTTAATTCGTATATATGTGCAAGTACGTTGCCTTTGAACAGCCAATTAGACTTGCAATAATAAATTAAAGAGGTGTACTCGGTCCACATTTCTTCACAAAGTGTATGAAAAAGTCTTGATTTTACGGGTCGTGTTTTATTGTAGTTCACCACTTTAATAATGCTATCCATTACTTAATTCAGGTGTAACGTTATTTGATGCTGAAGCCTCTGTATGTATGATACAATGTGTCCATGTTACACTTGGAGCGTTGGTTTTGATGAGAGCTTTTAGTCCTCGATACTGCTCAGACATCCCTGGGCACCCTTCGTACACACGCCTACACAGTAATCCTAGTTATTATTATTTTCAGTCATTTATGAGTTTAAAATCTTGAATAAATCAGTAGTTTTACAACTTTCTTATATTTTTCTGCAAAATAACAAATCCTCCCATATATTTGTTTCTTGTAAGTACCGTACATAACATATCAATTGAGCATCATCATTACTATCAGTCGCCTCGTCCAGTTGAATGGCAAATAAACCTGAAAGTATCCGCACAATGTGCTCATTAATATCTTCTGCCATGTCGTGAATATCATGGCGACTAACCGTATTGTTTGAAAGAGGTAGGTAGGAGATTTTTTTATTTCTTTAACTGCCGATTATCCAGTCATCACTGTTACCATATCAACCGCTACAGGTAAGATAAGTTCCTCAGCGATCGTATGTGGTTTTTTACATTTTGCAACACGGTAAGCTACCATGCAAGAGGCGAGCAATGCGTTGGTAGAAATTGATGCTCTTGAAACCAAAGCCGTGGTCTGATGTTTTAGCTCTCGCAATTTTCTTACAAAAAGTCTCTTGGCTTACCTTGTAAGTGACTGTGAGTTGATTTGAAATGCCGTTTTAGTTTACTCGAAAGCACACTTTCAGCCGCCAACACTTTGTGGCAAACAACACATTGTGGATGCTCTACGTTCGCTTTAGTACTGCAGGTAAATCCAAAATCCAAATATTGGTCGTCATATTTCCTATATTTCTTCTTTTTGCGTAAATTAACATTACTGCCCTCGCCTGATTCTTCACTTCGTTTTCTATTCTTTGGAATATAAGTATCCATTGTTGATAGCAAGAAACTTCGCGCGACAGTATTGAACACGGGGGAGAGTAGCCGACCAGCGAAACAGAATGTTGCCATTGCGAAACGACCAATGCGAAACGACCACTCGACTCCAATGTTGCCAATGTCCGGATAATTCGTGGACCATCGGATAATTTTCGGATTGCACAATTTTTTGACTTGATGTTATATTTTTTATTTAAATGATTTATTAATACATATAAAAAATATATTTTCTTTATTAAAAGTCCGCGCTGACAC